ATTTTAATAAATGATTTTATAATTATATTAAAAGTCATTAAAAGAATTTTAAAATAAGATTTTTAATTCTATAAAATTATTGTAAATTTATTATAATTTTTTATTATTTTTAAATAAAATAATTTTAAAAAATTACTAAATATATAAATATCTAAAAATATTATATAACTGTACGAAAATACACTCAACCGAGCAACCCAAGCGCAGCTTGGTCAATTGCAAGCAGAACCGGCAATCAAACCGTGTAAACAGAACCGGACAGAGGTAGCTTTTTTCCTTTTTTTTTTTGGTTTTTTCGGCCTCCACAGTTACAGGTAGCTTTCTCCCCCAATTTTTGTGCGCTTAACCATTCTTCTTCTTTCCCCCTCGCTCTGCCTTGTGCGTCTGCAAGCGAAAGCACTGTACCGCGTCGTGCTCCTCCATCAAATCCCAGATTCTTTAAGGCTTCAACATTTCCATTTCAGGCAATTTCTAACTCCTCTTTTCACAGATCATCCTTGGTTTCGCGTTTCATCGCTTCGTTAAGTGCATATTGTGGCTCATCTGAATCATGCTTCTCTTTTATTGTCTTGATAATTTGTTCATGTGGGTTGGCTCAGCTGATGGGTATTTCTTAAATGTTTATTTCTGATTGTGGGGTTTTTTTTTTTTTTTGTTGGGCTATCAGACGTTGTAATCATTAGTCTTTCATGATTACCGCTAATATACTGTGGTGTTTTGCGCATTTTTGGTTGTTGGTGCAAATGTTATTAATATCAGTTGGTTTTGTTAAGTGGGTATTTTCAGTTTTGTGGTTCCGTGTGAGTTTAGGGTTTAGTTTGTCAGCTTCCTGTTCTATGGATCCGTGTAATGTGCTGCTCTTGCTTTAAAGATCTAAACTTTGTTTTATTTCTTCTTGCACAAAGTTCCTGGTTCTTGTTTCTATAACAATATTTTGATTATTTCATTTATGCCTTTTGGGTTTCTACCAGAATGTAGCCATATATTGTGTGTGTCAAACACTATCCTTTGATAATGCGGGTATTGTAACTACTGAGCTTTTTTTCTTATTATATTTTCTTGGAAGTGTAGATAACAAGGAACAATTGTTGGTTGTTAGTCTTTTCTTAGTGATTGGTAGTGAAAATTCTCTCTAGTTAACAAAATTTTTTTTTCCTTTGAATTATCATTTCCATCTTCCCTTTTGTATTTCTATGGTTTCTCTAGAAAAGAACTTTGACTTTATGCAATCTAGAGGGTAATAGGTTTGAGGGAAGCAAAGCATAGCATTAAGCCTGTTAAAAGGATTTTTTATTTTTATTTTTATTTTTATTTTGTAGTATCTTAGTTTTGCAATAGGTAAATTCATTGGACTTTTTAGGTCTTATAGTGGGTTGTTACAGTCATTAAATAAAATTCGTTAGACTTGTTCTTCTAAGCTGAAAAGGCATGCTACTTTAGTTCCTAATGTGGTTACCTATATGGAGTGTCATGCTTCTGTTTTTCTGACTTCAATATTATGGTAATTGACATGATTGTGTTATGTCAACTCTTAACCTTTTTCTTTTAGGTGATTTTGAAGATGTGGAGATTTTTATGATGATTTTTTTTTTATTCTTGATAGATGGCTTTACAAACATCAAATCCCCCTACTAGTCCCAGTGCCCAAGTGGTTGGCAATGCTTTTGTTGAGCAGTATTACCATATTCTTCATCACTCTCCAGAATTGGTTTATAGATTTTATCAGGATTCAAGTGTTTTGAGTCGTCCAGACAACAATGGGCAAATGACATCAGTCACGACAATGCAAGTAAGCTCCTTGGGCATTCATTGTTCATACTTTTAATGATTTGTATCTCGGTTTAAGTTGCTTCCCTAGAATATCCTTCCTGGGCATCCCATATAACACTATATTGGAGTAAAATGAATACACTGAATCGGCAATGTTTTTGGAAAATTTATCTTTTATAGTGAGAAAAGTTGCTATCTCATAAGTAGCTTTGGCATGTTAGATAATTTGATGATTGTCTATCTTCTACCAGCCGGCACATCCTTGATGTGCTGTGTGTTCCCATTTTTGATTCAGGTAGTGGTATTGAGAATTGGTATTTGAGTCATAAGAATTTTTTAGTGTAAAAAGTTGGAGCTTTTATCTTCCTGACATGACCATTTGTGCTGATGTTGTTTCTATCATGCTTCATATTTTTGGCCTGTCTAGGTCAGAGCTCATCTTATTTCTTTTCTTTCAGTTCACGAGCTTAACTTTTTACATTTCAGTTCATGTCACAATAAGATATCGTGTCCTGAAACTTGTCAACTTCTGTGTATCATATTTATCTCTGGCATACAGCAAGTTGTCTCTGTGTATTCACATTTCCTTCATTATTCTCATTCTTCTAGCAAGTAATTTATTGCAATTCAACCCTTTATTTTAATTTTCTGTTTCATTTTTTAAGCCATGTCAAATCTCACTCTTTATTCGCTTCAACGCTTTTCCTTTTTTCCTTTTTGAAGTTGAAAACAAGTTTCCAGCATCTCTTTGGTTTTCAGTTGCATGAATTGTACTTACTATCAGTGTTATCCTGTGCAAAGAATGAGTGTTGTTCTTTTCTTTTGAACAGGGTATCAATGAGAAGATTCTTTCCCTGGATTATAAGAACTATAAGGCAAAGATTCAAACTGCTGATGCACAGAAGTCTTATAAGGAAGGAGTAACTGTCTTAGTGACTGGATGCTTAACGGGCGAGGATAATTTGAAAAGGAAATTTGCACAATCTTTTTTCCTTGCTCCGCAAGACAATGGGTATTTTGTTCTAAATGATGCATTTAGGTATTTGGAAGATGGTGAGCTTTTGGAGAATCATAGAGTTAATGATGTAGAAAATGTGCCTAAAGCCTCCTCAACCTCAACAGCTGCAGAGGGTAAAATCTGTTATTGTTGTCTTTCTTTTTCCTTAATTTTCTTATCAATAAGTTTTTGAGTATTCTTTGTATCTGTTTTCTAGGGTTGGCTCATGTTCCTGATCCTCCTGCCCCTGATCCATCTACTTTTGTTGTGGAAGAGAATCCAAATGCTGCTGAGAAGGCTCATGAGCCATCAGACCATGAGAAACATTTAGGTAATGAAAAAGATGCTGTTGAAGAATCCCAGTCACATTTAAATGAGAGTGAAATCTCTATAGTTGCTGAATCAGCATCATCTTCAGCCCAGGAAGATGCTCCAAAGAAATCTTATGCCTCAATTGTGAGTTTATAAAACTAAATGCTTTAGCTGGAAGTATTTGCATTCAATTACTTGTTGAAGCTTATTAGTTGTTGTAGGTGAAAGTAACTCAAGGAAGTCCAGGGCTAACTAAAGTTTATGTACCAACTAATACCGCAAAAGTAACTCCCAAGAAAATTGAGAACCAGTCTATTGCGTCAGCACCATCTGCTCCACCAGAAACTTCGGCACCGAGTAACATTGATGTCCCTGAGAACGACAATAATCATGACCACGAAGAAGGTATTACATGTTTGTTTTTCTTAATATCCCCGTGTTAAAACCCCTTGTTGCCATTCTTTGCAAGAGTGCTTCGATTTGCCATTATGAGAATAAAAGAATCAGGCCCCTTTTTGCTTGAGATACTGGTTTTGCTTGTTTCTGAAATGGTTGCCTGTATGATAAATTTATTCCACTTACAGTTGAGGGCTACTCCATTTACATTCGAAATTTGCCCTTCAATATAACTCCTACTCAGCTTGAGCTGGAGTTCGAGAGGTTTGGACGTATCAAACAGGAAGGCATCCAAGTTAGAAATAATAAGGTGGGTTTCAGATGCACTGCATGAGTTGAGTTGTGGTTATTGTCAGGTGTTTTTTTTTTTTTTTTCAGTTACATTGATTTCTTGATATCCCTTTTTTGCTTCTTTCAGCAACAAGGATACTGTTTTGGCTTTGTCGAATTTCTGTCCTTGAGCTCCATGAAAAAAGCAATCGAGGTATGCCCCTTGTTGATGTGAGATATTGATTTACATTGGTGTTAGAATATTCAACGTTTGTTAGTTTGCATTTCTCATCGTTTTTGTTGCCATGAAAGTGAAGTCTACCTGCTATATGTGATAATAAATGCCCTCCCCCCCTTCTGTGATTCATTTATCCTTTTCTATCCCTTGGTTGTCTTTTATAATCAATCAGGGATGAATATTTTTAATGGCGATACAATGTAAAAAAAGAAAAAGAAAATATAATTACATAAAATGGAGGCCGGAGATCTTTAGTCGTTTCTTTTGGCCATTAGATCTATAAGACAACTTAGGCTGGGGATTGCAAGTTTGCAACAAGTCCTTAATCCCAGCCCTTGATTTAAAATAAACCAAGCAAGAGTTGGCATGCTGAAAATATTTAGAAGAGCTTGTTTGGGCATTATCTCCATTTATAAGAATTTAGATGCTTAACCCTTCCAAAAGTTGTAGTTCATCAGTAATGGTCTATTAACCATGAGGTTCTTGTGTGAAAGTTTACTGGTGTAACTCTAGGAATAATTGAGGTGGCCTGCATCAGCATTAATTATAGATGATAATTCTTACTCTTTTGAGGTAGCCTTTTTTGTTTGCTAGTCTTAAGTTAGCCATCGTTGGGTTGGAACTTTCCTGAGTACCTGTGAAATAATGTCTCTGCAGTTTATGTTAGTCATGAGTGATTTTCTTCTTGTCTATTGATTAATTCATAGGCTTCACCACTCATGATTGGGGGACGACAAGCTGTTGTTGAAAAAAAAAGAACTTCAAATCGAGGTGAGTGGAAAATATCGCCACCTGCTATTAATGTATCAATAAGATCATGGTTACTAAATTTAGCTTGAAACATTTTGTTTGAAAATTCCATGAAAGATTTAAATTGTGATGGTCAATTCTTCTGCATTAATGTTATATCTGACTAAGTGGTCCATGCTGCTGTTTATTCCAGTTGGCAGTGGAAGAGTTACCGTTCCTTCTAGAATGGGAGGATATCGAAATGACAGCTTCAGGAGTCGTGGAAATTACAGTGGTAGCCGAGGCTTTGGCAGAAATGAATATGCAGGTTGGGGCGAATTCTCTGGTCGAGGTAGGGGTTCTGCTGGGCGTGGTGAAGGGAGAGGAAGAGGGAGAGGGAGAGGGAGAGGAGGCCGCTCAAGCGAATCAAAATAGGCAAGTATCTTGCTTGAAACTCCATGAAGTGGTTTTTGGCATCAATTTTTTTGACAGAGTCGGTTCCTTTCACTTTAGATGAGTGGGAGTTGATGTTTTCTTTTTCACCTCATTGATATTTCACAAGAAAATCAGCTTTTAAACACCAGATCTTAACAGCATTAAGAGGAAAGGCATTGTTATAGGTTAGGAACTTTATGTAGGGTTTATTCACCATAGTTGTGTAATTTTGCAGAATCCTAAGGTCATCCTCCAAATTTTTAGTAAACAACATTGGTTTTTTCCCTTTGCCAGGATGACACTGGTGTTTAAATGATATGGTTGTTTATCCAGAATGATTTTTAAGTCACCTGATTCATCTTCCTTTATTCTGTTCAATCTCTGTTGGGTTTTGGGTTATGAGGTATCATGACTTTGGATTACCTTTGCTGAAACAACACACAATAATCCAAGTTCGAGACTTCTTAAATCTTACACTCATCTTGTCAGTAAGCCTAGTTGTAATGAAACCATTGCAACTTGGACAAGACCTAAACCCTCATTATCACCGAGCCAAGTTGCAATAAACCATGTCAACTTTGACAATTCTTAGTTGATGGTAATGGCACGCAATTTCGACAGTCTTTCTTGATGATAACCACACTTTTTTTCAAAAAAATTTCACGTTCTACAGTTCAAACTATTGCTAAAAACGACGGCTATTAGACGAGGGGCTTGCCTACATTCAAAGATCTCCCTCAATATGATGGCACCTTTTTGTTTCTTTTATCACTTAAAATCTAAATAATTAGTAAAATTTTAAATATGTTAAAAAAAACAAAAAAGGTGCTATATAAATCCCCAACAAAATAAAGAGAAAGTTATCTTGGGGATTTCAGACTTGGACTCCACCATCATCCACCAACCATGGAGCAGCACAATGAACTTAGGCATTTGGACATCTTTTAATAAATATAAATTCAAAGGAGTGACAGAAAAGCAAAAGGTAAGGAAAATTAGTCACCATCATCCCAATAACTTTCCATTGTCATTTTCTCATCAAACAAACAAACCCCTCCTAAATTCTTTCAAATTTTTTTTTAAAAAAATTTATTTTATTTTTCCTTAAAACTATGAACCATCACATTGCGACACGTGTTAGCTTTTCCTCCACCTAAGACGTAACCCCACCTCACCCTTAACATTCATTAATTTTTTTTTTTTTGAACATTTAACATTCATTAATTTTAATTAAAAATGGTTAGTAATAACAATTTAATAGTTAGATCCTCAGGCCTCCGCCCTAGTGGCTATCATCCTGCGTTAGTGAGGGATTATCCGTATAAATTTTGTGTTTAAATTTTATGAATTTTTTTAATTATTTATTTATTTAAATATGTATTAATTTTAATTTATTTAAAAAAATAATGACAATTTAATAGTTACTAATGGTTTGTTAAATTAAATGAAAAAACTTTAGTTTCAAACAACCTTAGTTTTTCGTATTGTGAATAAATAAATAAATATTGAAAAAAAAATTATAAAACCTAACGTTTTTTAATTATAAATTAATCGAATTTAATAGATTTTTAAATGAAAAATTAGTAAAATATAACAATTTAAAAGTTGGAATTAGTTAAAAACAAAAGCTATGGTTCTGACAAGACGCGTGCGTACGACAGAAGCATGACATGATGATGATTTTTTCCTTTCTTTTCCTTCCCGTGAAATCCAGGACACGTCGCTTTCTTCATGCAACTTGTTCGCCCCTGCTTAGCTGTTTTTTTGCAATTACATTACGACACGTGTGCTGCTAAATAATTGGGAACACGTGGCTTCAGCCCACATCGCTCGCTCAAAAAGTAGGATCTTAAAAAAAGCGTGCAACTTGCCCCTCTTGGGTCCCACCCCCGATCTTCTCCCGATTTTTTGCGTGTTATCCGGAGATTCTTTTCGTTTTTATTATTCTTTCGGGGTTCATTTCACTTTTAAGTCCTCGAATTTGTTTGGAGTGTTCAACTGAGACCAAAAGTTATCAATTTCAGCCATCATGACCTCCCCAAATAAGTCATAGAATATTGTCTTAATTCATCAATGACAAAACTGATTTCAGGCCTGTTTGGTTGAGTTTCTTGGAGTTTTAGTTTTTTTAGTACTATTACGAGTCATAAGTTTAAATTTTTATTAAAGTAAAAATTTTAAAATTCTTTTAAAAATAATAAAAAGTGAATAAAAAATGAATAAAAAATGAATAAAAGGAAAGTTTACAAAAAGTAAAAGTTTGAAACTTTTCAAAATTTACTATTTAATGTTTTTTCAAAGTTAAAAAAAAAACTTAAAAAATATAAATTTTTAAAAGAAAAATTTTAACTTATAAAATATTAATAGTATCAAAAAGTTGAAGTACTTACAAGTTTCACCAAACATATTATTCATCTTCTTACGGAGGGATTTTGATAGCCTTCCACCGTAGTATTGTTTGCTTGACAAAAATTTAACATTTTCAACTTTTTCAATGTCGAGTTATAATAGTTAGTAAGTAATGTCAACATTTTGCTTAATAATTTTTTTTTTTTTAAAGATAATTATATTATACTACAAAGGGGTAAGGAAATGAGTGATCCTAGTTTGAACTCAAACTTAGAAGTTTTCATTTACTAAAACAAGGTTCATTAGCCACCTATATCTAACATAGATCACATATATTTTTAGTGAAAAAGTGACATAATAATTTTAAATTGAAAGATATTAAAAGATGAATGAAATGTTAAACAACAAGAAAAGACGTTAGACAAGTGTTTAATGGTGAATATTTGTTATCTATTGTCTTACACTAGGATTTAGCTTATTAATATGCGAGAATGATAAAATGAGACATTAGTTTTTTTGGAAAAGAATGATGTAATTTGGCTACAAATCTATGAAACAAATTGCTATTAATTGCAAAACCTATTTATTCTTTGGGTAATGGTTCAAATGTTAGGTTTTTTTTTTTTTTTTTTTTTGTGGTTTACAAATTAGAATGTAACTCATTGTTTATTATAAAACCAAATGTTCAAAAAATTTATCACACAAGTAATTTATCTAATATAAATATTTAAAATATCTCATTATAAATGGATTTTATTTGTATATAAAGAAGTAAAGAAGTTGAAGTTGGAATAGTAGTTGCATGTTTCATTCATTCAAAGGAATATGTTAGTTGAGTTTGGGCTTTTCTAACTAAGAAAAAGAAAATTTCCTACTAACACAAATTATTGATATTTGAAATCAGCCTTAAAGGAACCTAAACAAATTAAAGTTTCGCTTTAAACTCTTAAATTTTTTTATAAGAACAAAATTTTAATATCAGTTTAAAGTAAAATGTTTAAATTTCTATAATACTAAATTCATTCTTCGGTGTTCTAGAAAAAAAAGAAATCCATTCTTTGCTAGTTAAAAACTAATGGACATTTTAGAGCATCCAATAAAACTTTAGGGTGTAAAATGATATTCTTCTTCAACACTTTTGCTTTTGTGATTATTAATGTGTGTTTATTTTTATTTTTATTTTTATTTTTATTTTTTGAAGTAAATGTAACTTGCTTTTTTATGATAACTTCATTTTTGTTTTCTTGCCGGAGGGGTTGTGCTCTACATTCAATTGGGGATGAGCTGGCAACTGAGGTTGAAAGTTGTAGTGTTACAAGTGGATCTTGAGAGTGTCTAATCCACTGCGGCTCTGGTCCAGCATACTCCTTTTCAGTCCTCTGATATGTAACATGTTCTCAATTAAGTCCTCCAAAATTTTTTGGACAATCATTGGTTGCTATTTCGTTAAAACAATGCCGTACATAAAAATTATTGGCATTTGGCAGGGTGTGTTTTTTTTTTTATTAAAGCTATTCTCTCATTTATATAACAATTGTTTTTTTTAATTAAAAATTTA